TTTCCTGATATTGAAATTAATGAAAGAGGTAAATAATTTATTTTCTTTTAAAAATAAAATAAAGGAGAGGGGTAAAGGAGGTTGAAATACGGATCTGAATCCTCTTATATGAAAAAAAAACATAAAAAAAATATTGAAATAGATAATTACAAATCATAACCGTTGATTTATCTTTTTATAATTGTGATCTTTTCACATAACTATATCATGTTTTTTTTCACTTGAAATATATATGCCATGCCCACACGAGGTCCAAACATAATGTTAGATCAAAGGTACACCCACCTTCTCTATTCTAGGTTCTTGAATAATAAGCGCCAATATTTCTCGTGCAAGTGTGTAATATTTTGCTTCTTACACTCTTTCTTTGCAGAGGTTCAGGCTTCTTTTAAAACTAGTTTTCTAGAACATTTCCTTTACACACTTTTTGATATATTTTTCAATAACTTGTATAGAGAGGTTAACAATGCTGACCTTGTCCTTATTTTTGTTGTTTGCAGGGAGTGTGAATCCCCTAATCAGCTTGCCCTGCTTTATGTCCCATGCAAGCATACCCTCCCCAGTTCGTGAGGCTAGAGGTTTAACTAAAGATCTTGTGCATATATCTATGGGTATTGAGGATGTCAAGATCTCATTGCTGATCTAGACCATGCGCTTAGAATTTGACCTCTGTAATTTCTTCTAAATATCCAATCTTATGAAGCTGGATTACTTATGATTATACTTCTTTCTCGAATTGTATTGATTACTTTAATGACATAAGGGTATGATGAAATATTAGGATTAGCCATATTATGTTAGCAGTGTCATTGCTGTACGCATTTGTACTTGATCTAGATTGTTAGAACAAATAGGAGTATTAGGTTAATGTTTTGTATCATTTCACAACATCACAGTCTTGTATGTTAAAATGTACTGTCTCTTTTTTCCTTTTCGTCTTTTTGCTATGATTCAGGTGAAAGGATGTGTCCATGTAAAGAATATAAAAGAAACGGAAAAACAAGTTAATAAGTTCCACATCATTAGTTAATAATTGTAAAGAACTTTGAGATAAACCACTCCAAAAGTTAGCTCAAAGGGTGAGAGTGCCCAATGTCTTATAAAGGCCACATTAGTTGTCCACACAATCAATGTGGGACTATATATCTCAACACGCCTCCTCACGCAAGGGCTCTTTAGGCTAGAAGCGTGGAAATTGCGCAGGCCCAATTTTTGGTTTATCTTTTTGTGCTTTTTATTTTAATTCCACTTTAAAGTGGGAGACGGTGAAGCTCTGATACCATGTAAAGAACCTTGGGATACACCACTTCAAAAGCTAGCTCGCTCTAAGGGTGAGAGTGCCTAATGCCTTATAAAGGCCACATTAGTTACCCACACAATCAATGTGAGACTATATATCTCAACAATAACCATTAGTGTTAGCTTTCATTAAAGTAGTGAATAATTTTGTTAACGGACTTAGATGAGAATTGAATTTGACTTGCACAAGTGATAAACCAAGGGGGAAATGAAAACATTGTATGGAAAAGTGTGCGGACTGTGTAGCTACATATGATCTCATTCTGCCTCAACTGAATTAGAAGCATGAAGAGATGAAATTCGTGAAATCACAAAAGTGCATAAAAAAGTCTGTCAAAGGGTTTATAAGTGCCCAGAATTCATCATCAAGTTGTAGGCATAGATAGCACAACTTTCACCACCTCCGGCTAAAGCACCATTTTAAAGTTTTTGGACAAAAGAATTGCCCGGTTAAAGCTGATTGCATAAGTTTTTCCAAAGTAATGCAGTCAAACATGTCACCTATGCTGACGAGACTAGTCTCGTCACTGATACTGACGGGACTCGTGCCACGTCAGCGCCACGTAAGCAGTCCAATTACCGTAAATCTTCGGAAGACCATAACTTGTGACTCGGGTATCCAAATCAGATGATTTTTTTTTTTGATTTCACATAACTTTTCAAGATCTACGCAAACGACGAAAATTTCGTCACAAAATTATTTTTTCGTCAGAATACTTTTTGTTTAAAAAGCGAGGAAATTTTTTCTAAAATGAAAGTTTTTACAAAAATAAATTTTCTATCAAAATTTAGTTTTCGTTACAAGTTTTGACGAAAATGATTTTCTCCATCAAATATTTTAAATGAAAAAAGAATTCCGTCAAAAATTTTGACAGAATGTTTTTCATTCAAAATTTCGATGGGAATGTGTTCTGACAAAAATTTAGACGGAAATTGTTTTGAGGGAAATGTTTCATTTGAAACTTTCGACGAAATTTAGATTCTCTAAAGAATTTTGACAGAATATTTTGTGTCAAAAAATGCGTTCTATTGAAAATTTTGATGAAAATGTGTTTCGCTAAAAATTTCGATAATTTTTTTTTTGTCAAAAAATTTAACGACAATGTTTTCGTCGAAAACTTTTGCCGAAATTTAAATTCTGTAAAAAAATTTGATGAAATTTTTTTCTGTGAAAATAATTCGATGAAAATGTGTTTCGTCGAAATTTTTGATGAATATGTTTTTTTGTGAAATATTTTGACGAAATTTAGATTCTGTAAAAAAATTTGACAAAAAATTTTTCCGTCAAATTTTTTTACAGAAATGTTTTTAGACACAAATTTTGATGAAAATATTTTCCGTAAAAAAATTTGGCATAATTGTTTCACATTAAAACTTTTCTTTTAATATAATTGTGATTTTTTTTTCACATAATGTATGTGGGTTAAGTTTTGGGTCAATAGATTATTATTAAAACAAGTCAGATCTAAAACTGACTCAAATAAAAGTGGATCAGTATTTAAACCCAGTTCAAAAAAATTCAGGTCAATATTAAATAAAGAGCAGGACAAGTGAATCAATTTTTTTGCCATATAGTTACTCCCTCTACCCAAAACCTGAAACCATCGTGTGAGAGAAGTAAAAACTTCAACCTTGTGATTTTAAAAACTCAAAGATACCTCATTTATTTGTTATTGCCAAATCTTGCAGGCATGTTTGTAAAATCCTAAGAGGGCGTTTAGTATAAGGATTTTGGCTGAATTTTCGAAAAATTAAATTTTTCTAAATTTTAAATTTTTGAATATTATCATAAACTGAATATAAAAATTATATTTTTAAAAATCGAGATTTTCGGACAAAAAAAAAAATTCTCCTCTACCAAACGCCCCCTGAGATCAATCCTGATAGATAGTGTCACTGCACCAGTTTAATTGGAAAATATCAATGTTAGATCCAAATGGTTAATGGAAAATTTATATTGAATGCATACTTTTTTTTTAATACACAAATATATAATTTCTAAAAGAAAATTTTGAAAAAAAAATTGTTAATCGAAAATTTCACTTTTTTAATCTTTTTAAGTTTATGGGCAAAGGATTTTTCCGGCTAGAGATAAATTATTTACAGTGAGTACAAAATGACGTTATTTTGAGACAAAAATCAAAATATTTTTGTAATTTTAGTTTAGAATTATATTAGTCTTTATTATTATAATTTTTTAATCTTACGACCAAAGACAACGGAGATAACTTCATATCTAGTTACCGAAAAAATACTCTGATTTCTTTTTCCAATTTCATCAACATCAGAGACGAAAATTTGCACCGTTTATAGCGCTGTCAACTAGTTTTGCACCGTGAAGCCAAAATTTGATAGCTGAATTCATCCCTTTGGAAAAATTTAATATCCTCCATCCATCCAATAAATTGGGTGGTACTTTTCACAATATTAATTTTTCTTTTTTACTTTTAATTTTTTATAGATTTATTTTTTCTGCAGTTAATATAGATAAATTATTTGCATTGAGTCCAAAACGATGTCGTTTTGAAGCAAAAATCAAGATGTTTTTGTAATTTTAATTTATTTCAGAGTTATAATAATCTATATAATTATAATTTTTTAATATTTCAACACCAAAACAACATTATTTTGAGAGTAAATACAAATAACTTATCTGCGGTAGTAACTGCATAAACATTTTTTTATTTTCTCTCTTTTCTATTTTTACTCTCTCATTCGCAGTAAGGTATCTGCAAAATTGAAAACGCTCTCCATTCCTCTTAATAACCCACGAATCACACCGTTAATTCAAAACTGATTAGAAACAAAGGCAACAGGTGGCAAATCAAATAAAAAACTACAACTAGTTTGATTGATTATCTACGTTGCACTGATACGATATGAGACATGATATGATGTTTTATTAAATTGATATAATAATTATAATATGTAATAAAATTTCAAATATTATAAGAGAATGATTATACTTACAACTTTTTTTTATAACCTCATACAACTATATCTTAACGCCATTGATTTTTCCCAATCAACGGTTATCATTTTTTGTGAATTAATAATTAATTAATGAGTTTAATTTACGAAAATCATAACCGTTGATTGACGTAAATCAACGGTATTAAAATATGGTTGTAAAAAATTGTAAAAAAAAAGTTGTAAGTATAACCTTCCTCGTATTATAAATAGGAGAAAGATATACTTACCACCAAAATAGTTTACAACCTTTACAACCAATTTCATCATAGTTAATTTTCGTTAATCTAACTATTATCATTTAATAGAAATTATTGGGTCGTATTTATTAATTAATTATTAATTCTAAGAAATGATAGCCGTTAGATTGACGAAAATCAGCGATAATTAAATTGATTATAAATGTGATAAATTTTTTTGATTGTAAATATATCCTGCGCCAAATAAATATCGTAACATATCAAAAGATTGAAGATATCGGATATAATATTTCAAATGTTTTAAAATATCAGTGCTACATAAATTACAAGTATGCAATGATAAATCCCGATTATATTTCAACTATAAAATATAAATAACCAATCAAATATAACTGAAAATTTTTCATATCTCAAATTTCACACTTTAAATAAAATAAATTGCCTAGTACTTTAGTTAATGGAAGTAGGTAACCTAAAACAAAAAAATATATATATAAATGATTGAACTACCCCCCTCGCTGCATTGCTGTTGAACAATTCAACAAAACAGCACAGCACAAGTTCAGTCAACATAGTATAACTCCAAGCCCATGATCTGAATCATGTTTTGTTCTGCAATTTCTCCTAGGCACTTCCTTCGTTCAGTAGTTCTTGATCCTTACGCTCAGGTAAAACCTTTTCTCTTTCCTTCTTTTTTTTTTTTTTTTTTTTTTTTTGTGGGGTCTTTATATGCTGCGCTTCGCAAAAGTGAAAAAAAAAAAAAAAAGTCTTGTGGATATGAGAAGTGAGAACTTTTCCCTCCATGATGTTGGGAAACTTGATTTCAATGCCCCTTTTGCTTCAAGAGTTCAGTAGATGCTTCAAAATCATATTTTTCATTCATTGATGATAACCCATTTGCATAATGCTTCTCATTCTCTCCTTTCTCCTTGGCGTGGTGTGTTTCAGAGCACAACTATTGCAGATAGGTGCGAGTGCTTGGGGTTTAACAAGTCAGCAAATTTCAGGACAAAGAGACTGTTGTGTGCTAAAGGGTTCAAGCTGAATTGTTTGGATGATAAAGGGATGGATCTGGGCACATCGTCCGAGGACGATACTGCAGGTTGTTATGTGCTATGTTTCCTGTGCTGACACAAGATATATAAGGTTTATTTTCTGTGTGTAAATACTAATTCTTTCTCTTTGTAGAAGAGGAGGTAAAGGAGCCTAGTTTTTCAACAATGGTGATGAATTTTGAGAGTAACTTTGATCCTTATGGAGCAGTTAGTCTCCCGCTTTACCAAACTGCTACTTTTAAGCAGGTGAATTTTATATATTCACTTGTCTGACTTTAGTATCTTGGATTAATTCATGATGAACTCATGAATTTTTGTGTATTTAGTATCTCTGTTGAATATTTTTCTTTCAATTTCTATATGTCTTATACAGTTAGACACTTCTTCATGCAGCCTTCTGCAGTAGAAAATGGTCCATATGACTATACCAGAAGCGGAAATCCTACCCGAGATGCTTTAGAAAGGTTTGTTGTGACCTGTTGGTTTGCGTTTTGGATTGCACCACAGATGTTTCGTATTATGATTATTTCTCCATCTTCTTTTAAATTTCATGTCTTGTGTTCTCAGTTTACTGGCAAAACTTGATAAAGCAGATAGAGCCCTATGCTTCACCAGCGGAATGGCTGCTTTGAGTGCTGTTGCTCATCTTGTTGGAACTGGTGCTTTTTCTTTCGTCATTGTGATGAAATCTGATCTTTCTTCGTTGTTATTTATGTGAATCTAGACTGAATTTGTTACTAAATACTTATGAGGTCTAAGATTATTTTTGTTAAATATTTGTGAGTTTATAATTTTACTCTCTATATATAAAACATGCTAGAGAAGCACCAAACTAAGAAATTTAGACAGTTATATTTATGCTTAGGAGTATTTGCACTGCACTGCACTCACAGATAGTGTTTGTGACCTAGTATGACATTATTTTTTGGCTATTGTGAGGCTTCTATCAGTGGGTTCTCATTACTCCGGCAATTTTCCGTTGGTTTTTCCTGTGTTGGATTCATAACAGAACTAGAAAAGAGAAAATTTACTCACTAATGCACTTGGGGCTGCAAGCAATGTATTCTGACAGGATAGCTTTCTTTTTGACAAAACATGATAGTTTCTTGCTGTTTACTCCTGATAATGTACATATAGGTGAGGAAATCGTTGCTGGAGATGATCTTTATGGTGGCACGGATAGGTTGCTTTCTCAAGTAATTCCAAATACTGGAGTTGTGGTGAAGTTAGTCTGATTCGTTAGTTGTACTTATTTATTTACTATATAATGAGTAATTAATTATACAAAGAAACCAGCCTAGTTTGTTGATTACATGAATCATAAGTCCATTAGCGATCATACTTTAATTCTTGCACGTGCAGACGGGTAAATACAAGTGATCTAAATGAGGTTGCATCTGCTATTGGACCCCGGACTAAGCTTGTGTGGCTTGAGAGTCCAACCAATCCTCGGCTACAAATTTGTGATATTCGAGTAAGATGTTGTATTTTTTAGTTATGACATATGAGGTGTTAATAATATAGATTAGGTTTTTGTGTGGTGGTTGCTGTTGTCCTTCTTCTTTTCCTCCTTCCGTGTTACTCCTGAGAAACTGAGAGGTAGTTTCTGTCATTGTTATTTGAATTTGAAATGTCAGGTGGAAGGGTATGCTTGTGTCTTTCAATAACACAGCATCCCACCACCCTGCTTCCCTCCTCCCATTTCAGAAAATAATATGAAAAGAAAATGATATATTGTTACCTTGATGTTTGAAGTGTTACAATTATGGATAATCACTAAATCACACCCTGACTTGAATTTCTATCAGGTTGTATATCTTGTCATGACACCCAGCAATAAGTATAATTCCATCATTTTTTTCCTACCTAGATAAGAGTGCACTGCAATTGTGAAACTTGCAGACTTTCCAATATTATTTTTCTTACTCTAAAGAGAGAGGCACCTGTATATTTTACTTATTAATTATAAATCAAGTTTTCTCTCTTGGTAATAACTCACAATTTCAGTTTAGATTAGACACTAGTTCTTCATGAATTTATAGGCATTTTCTTTCCTGAATTACTGTTACCTTCACTACTTTGTCATTGTATTGTCACTTATTGCCAGTTGTAAGTTTTTTGCGGATATCTAATATATAAAACAAACATATATCAAATCCTCATTTTATATTCTATGATATGAACTTTTAATATGAAATACTGTTAAATGGTTCTATTCTAATAATATAGCATTTCTTTTTCTTTCCCCCTTCTTAATTCATGTCCAGAAAATAGCAGAGATGGCTCATTCACATGGTGCTCTTGTGTTGGCAGACAATAGTATAATGTCACCTGTGTTGTCCCGGCCATTGGAAATTGGAGCAGGTATAAGCATTGTAAGCCAATGAAAATAAACAGATTTATTCACTTCTTAAAAACATGCTTGCTAACATGGACTACAAAATTTGGGAGGAAAAAAAATTGAGGGTGGAATTTGAGATGAATGAAATATTGAAAACCATTTTCAATCCCTCAGTTGCTACGAGTGATAAAAAAAAAAGTGAAGAAATATACTGCATTAGTGGTACTGATTGTGTGTATGTGTGTCTATTAGTAAAACATAAGGGTGGTGAAATCATATATCCATTTTGTTTAGTCACTTAGCACTATATTTTCACTCTACTTTTCACTCTTTTTATTTTTTGCTTTTTAATGTACAAAAGGAATTTATTAAGAAAACCCCAATATGCCAACTGATACACAAAGTTTACACAGTTGTGACTGGTACCTTTTTGCCACAGATATCGTCATGCATTCAGCTACCAAATTTATTGCTGGCCATAGTGACATTATGGCTGGTGTGCTAGCTGTGAAAGGTGAAAGGTAATTACTCTTTTTCTATACTTCATTATAGTAATGTTGTGATTTAAATTTCAATTGAACCGCTTTTTTTTTTAAATAAATATAATGGCATGCTTTTGTCTGTTGATCTATTAATTATTAAATGGTTCAGGAAATTTTGACAAGCTCTTCTACAAGATGGACTGACGCATATTTGAATTACTTTTTAGTAAATTTGTCATAAGATTTGTTGTGAAAGGTTCTATGAGCTTGTTTTAAATGAAAGGCTAGATTGTGATTTTGTTTTTTTGATAAAAAAGAAGCATTCCCTTCTTATTGCAAACCATAAGGGGAAGGAAGTGATCCCTTTTCTCTTTTAAATTCTATGTGCTTGAGCTCCTTCAAAATTGTTAAGTGGTACTCTTGTTGCTATTTCTTTCATTATCTGTTAGTCTTTTATGTGCCTCATTTAAGCTAAAATTGAGGTGTTAAGGATCTATTCTTTTATAAGCTACTTGTAATTGTACTTTTAGTAGAGTTTTCATTTTTAAATTTATTCTTTTGAATTATTGTGGATCAGTACTAACTACTCCTTTTTTATCCCCTCCTGAATGTTTACCTCCTTTCATCACCCCATTAAGGTTGGGAAAAGAATTGTATTTCTTACAAAATGCAGAGGGTTCAGGCTTAGCTCCATTTGATTCTTGGCTTTGTATGAGAGGAATCAAGACAATGGCCCTGCGAATTGAGAAGCAACAGGTGCTGGTTGAATCTTTTAGCTTGAATTGCTTCTGCTATTTATTTATGCCTTGTTTGTCTGTATTTTTTATACAATAAGGTTTTTTTAATGATGGTCTAGTGAACAACTGAATACAACTGGCTGAAAAATCTTATAACCATAAGTTCAATCTATTGTAGTTCATATAATAAGTTGGTAAGAATAGAATAGAGACTCACTTAAGAATAATAATAATAATGAAAAAAAAATGCGTTATGCAGAATGAGGATTATTTTAATTCGGCCTTCAATTTCGGAGTTAGAGTTTCAAATTTTGGATTTTTTATTTTGTCAATTAGGGATTTTATCCTTTGTTTGGGATGGGATATTCCTTTTGCACTTTATTACTTATCCTGTTATTACCATATTTTTAAGTAGGGGTGGCAATTCGGGTTGACACAATGTGACACGACACGAAATGAATTTAACACGAACACGAATACACTCAACACGAACACAACATGAATTTGAAAACGGGTCGATCAAAACATGAATTTCTCGTGTTGTGTTGAAAATTGTCACCCCTATTTTTTGGAATTATGTTTTATAGAGGGCTATGAATATCCCTCTTATCACAACTTGTGGGCCTCTTGCTTGAATATTGACTATAAACAATTTTCAGAATTACTTGTGTTCTTGGCTATTTGGCTTCTACATCAGACCATTCAAAATTTCAAACATTCCGATTCATGAATGCCTTTCCATAATCTCTTCTTTGATTGGCTTTATACTTCTTATTAGAAGCTGAATAACTCCTTCAACAATCTTTCATATTGAAAGTCAAGCCTTATATATCCTTGCAGCATAATATATGCTTGCACGGTGTTGTGATGCGACATGCATGAACTAATTGTCATTTTGATTGACTGTCCAATGTACTACGTCCTCTTTGATCCCCATATACTTCTCATTGATCTATTAAAATATAATAGTTTCTCTGATTCTGCTTAGTTTAAAATTGGATTTCTAAGCTGCCTTTATATTATAGATCTAAAGACGCACATTGTTAATCTTGTCTAGAAAGTTAAGTTGATCTGGATACTGGATGTCAAATTACAGTGGTCTCAAAATCTGATTTGTGCAGAATTTGTGAATCGTCATGTCATTATCTTTTTTAAGTGTTAACTTTTGAATTAAAATCTTGTGCAGGATAATGCGCAGAAGATTGCTGAGTTCCTTGCCTCTCATCCACGAGTTAAGAAAGTGAACTATGCTGGTCTGCCAGGTCATCCTGGACGTGATTTACACTATTCTCAGGTATAGTAGATAAATTGATGTTTAAGATTGTTGGTTGGTGCTATGCCCCATTATATTATTTGGGTTCATCGACACCAACCTCAACTAGTTTGGGATAAAAGTAGTGTTGATGTTGCTGTTATGCACATTTTTGATGATCACATATTCATATGGTCTCTTTGCAGGCAAAGGGTGCAGGATCTGTGCTTAGCTTTCTAACAGGTTCTTTGGCACTCTCAAAGCACATAGTTGAAACTACCAAGTACTTCAGCATAACCGTCAGTTTTGGTAATAATTCTTCCACCCAATGCTTAAATAAAATAATTTTCAACTGGTAATAATATGATCATATTTGATAGGTTCTAGATATCTGTTTGTTAATGACAATACTGACTGCATGAAGTTCAACAATTCTCTAAATAAACCTTTCCCTTCAATTTAAACCACTTTAATATTTGAACAATTCATTTTCTCTCCTCTCTCTTATAATTGCAAATACCATGTCCTATGCATTTGTTGGTTATAAAGTGTTGCACCAATGGCTAAGCCAGGACTGTAAAAATGGAATGATAAAATTAAAATAGCATTTATATGAATTAAAACAAATATTGTTGTAACATAATATTAAGTTTACTTTATTCAATGAAAAGCTTAATTATGTAACAGTATACTTTTGTGTGTATTGATTGATTGATTGAAATTATATGAATTTGGTTAGAGAAATAGCAAAAAGATATTAAATATGAGAATGATATTCTTACGTGGTGATTTTCAATTTCCTGATAATGAAATTAATAAAAGAGGTAAAAATTTATTTTCTTTTTTTAATAAAAAAAGAGAGTGAGGGAAAGGAGGTTGAAATATATATGCCATGCCCACATGAGGTCCAAACATAATGTTAGATCAAAGGGTACACCCACCTTCTCTATTCTAGGTTCTTGAATAATAAGCAATTAAGCACTAATATTTCTGTGCAAGTGTGTAATATTTTGCTTCTTACACTCTTTCTTTGCGGAGGTTCAGGCTTCTTTTAAAACTAGTTTTCTAGAACATTTCCTTTACACTCTTTTTGATGTATGCTCGTCAATAAATTGTATAGAGAGGTTCACAATGCTGACCTTGTCCTTATTTTTGTTGTTTGCAGGGAGTGTGAAGTCCCTAATCAGCTTGCCCTGCTTTATGTCCCATGCAAGCATACCTTCTGCAGTTCGTGAGGCCAGAGGTTTAACTGAAGATCTTGTGCGTATATCTGTGGGTATTGAGGATGTCAACGATCTCATTGCTGATCTAGACCATGCACTTAGAACCGGGCCTCTGTAATTTTTTCTAAATATCCAATCTTATGAAGTCTCATTACTAAGTGCATGGTCTAGATCAGCAATGAGATTGTTGACATTCTCAATACCCACAGATATATGCACAAGATCTTCGGTTAAACCTCTGGCTTCACGAACTGTAGAAGGTGTGCTTGCATTGTGAACCTCTCTATCCAATTTATTGACAAGCATGCATCAAAAAGTGTGTAAAGGAATTGTTCTAGAAAACTAGTTTTAAAAGAAGCCTGAATCTCTGCAAAGAAAGAGTGTAAGAAGCAAAATATTACACACTTGCAAGAGAAATATTAGTGCTTATTGTTCAAGAACCTGGAATAGAGAAGGTGGGTGTAGTCCCTAATCAGCTTTGCAGTTCGTGAGGGCAGAGGTTTAACCGAAGATCTTGTGCATATATCTGTGGGTATTGAGGATGTCAACGATCTCATTGCTGATCTAGACCATGCACTTAGAACTGGGTCTCTGTAATTTCTTTTAAATACCCAACCTTTTGAAGCTGGATTAACATTTTGTTTTAATTACGCATTTTTAGAATTTGGAAGCACTGTTATCCAATTTTGGAGCCTCAAGGCTGGAAAATTTGATGTGTTTCTTAGATCACGTAGATGTTACAAAATTCATATTTCCTTTAATTTGTTTTAGAAATTTCACTATTGAGATCAAAAGTAGACAATTTAAAAAGTAGAAGAACGAAATTGATGCAATTTAATTTAAAAGATGAAAATTTTGAAATTGTAAAAGTAGAACACAAAAGTGATATCAGGCCAGTTAAAAAATGAATAAAATTAACATTAGCTTACAAGCTGATTCGGACATCCATTCCATCAGAGTATCTTAAATATGAAGTAAAATGTTGCAACTACTCAACCCTTAAAGCCTACAAAAAAAATAAAAAAAAAAATGTGTGTGGATCCATCATAGAAGGTGGGCTTGCACAATTGGGCTGTACTTTTGGTTGAAATAAAAACAAAGGGGTGCTTGTCCAATAAGTTAATTAGACATGTCTTGCAACATAAAGGCATGTGGAAAGTTGAAAGCCCAAAATATGCCACCTGCCTGCCTATTTAACAATGTTAAATTCCGGTGTTACCCTTTGAACTTACGTGGCAACTCCCCCACCTCAAATGGACATGAACAACAGCCTTTTTGTGTTAAACTAAACTCAAGCAGAAACCGCCTCTTTCTTTGTTGTATTGCATAATAATAATAGTATGGATGTGCTTGCTTTAAAGAAGCAATTTCAGCAACTTATCATCTTTACGAGAGAGGTAAGGGACACTCACTCCCTTACTGTTTCCATTTACTACATTTCTACAAAGAAAACATGTTGACAAACTGGCTTGGCTTCCATGGGGGCGTGCAAGCAAAAGTACTTGCTACTACGTGCTAACCAAGGAGTCCTTTTGGAGGTAAAGTTATCAACACCATTCCTTTCTCAAAAATTCAACATTTTTCCTCTTTGGAGGGGGGAGGGGTCTGTTTTCTATGATGTTGAATAATGAGATAAAAAGTGCTTTTTTTTCTTTCATCTTTTTCCGGGGTCTGTTTTCTATTCTATTGAAGAATGACAAACTCATTGGAGGGGTGTCTGTTTTCTATGATATTGAAGAATGAGAAAAAAAATAAAATTGTTGGTCTTTATTATGACAAAAAAATTTGTAGTCTGTCAGACAACCGAGTGATCCACCCAACCAGATTACTCTAGCTGGGAACGATCATCTACAACCGAAGATGAATACCCCCCTAAGAGAGAGTCACCAGGCCATTAATCACGCTCAGATCACACGGTCCTGAGTCATCCACCAGACTTAGGTTCCTGTCTCCTTAGAACTCAAGGATACAGAGGTACGAGCCTATAGAACAGATCCTGTTCAAGTAAGGTCGTACCCATTCACTCAACGCTTCGTTATAAATATACTTTTGTTTTGTCCAGAACTCCCGATGTGGGCTTTCGAGATTTTCTAATGAAATTGGTGTGACTTACTTTTGAAAAGGCGGTTGACGGTCAATGGCTACATTTCCTGCCACGATGTTTTCCTACATTGCGGCATTGATCCCATATCTTTATCTTTCTTTCGAGAAAATAAGAAGTGGATATAGACACTTTGGAAGGCCCTTATTTTATGTTTGATTCCATCAAATCAACACAAGTCTATAAAATACCCTTTAGGTGGTCTGCCAGCAGGGATTATGTTTGGCGAATTAATGCGAATCATACGCAGCTTTGTGAATCATGGATCTCCTCTCGTGGCGCTACGCTACCCATTTCTACATAGATAGGTAGTAGCTAATCTTTAAATGACTCTTTTATTTCTCATATTTTCTTTTTCTTTAATTTATGGATTATTTTATTAATTTTGTGGATTCATAACTATTAATGAATATACTTCTTTCTGAAATTGTATCGATTACTTTAAGGACCTAAGGTTATGATAAAATAGTAGGATTAGCCATAGTATGTTAGCAGTGTCATTGCTGGACACATTTGTATTCGATCCAGATTGTTAGAACAAATAGGAGTATTAGATTAATGTTTTGTATCGTATCACAACATCGCAGTCCTGTAAGTTAAAATGTACTCTCTCTCTCTTTTCCTTTTAGTCTTTTACCTATGATTCAGGTGAAAGGATGTGTCTATGTAAAGAATATAAAAGAAATGGAAAAACAAGTTAATAAGTTCCACATCATTAGTTAGTAAGCATTAGTGTTAGCTTTCCTTAAAGTAGTAAATAATTTTGTTAACGGACTTGAGTTAGACGAGAACAGAATTTGACTTGCACAAGTGATAAACCAAGGGTAAATCTCCACGGTCGGACAAGATTATAACTTTAACGGTGTTGAGAGGATAGAGAAATGTAGGTTAATTAAGAGTAGGCAGAATAACTCCTCCCATAAATTATATAATAACTGAAACATTTCATGCACCAAATATTTAAATTGAAGATTTAACCAATGCCCAGTCCAAAGATAACAAGGAATGTTGGCGAGGAGGATTAGCTCAAGATTGCTCATGTCATGCACCAGATATTTATGTTGACAGGTTGAAAATATAACCACCTTGTGCTTTATTTTAGCAAATTTGGTAGTTTAGTAGAAGATCAATCTTCTATTTTAGGAAGGAATAATTATGTTACTTATGTGGTGAAATTGCACCAAAAAAGGCACATAATGTTAAGTTATAGCCCATTTGGATGAGTTTGTAAAAAAGTGTTTTTTATACTTTACTTGTTTTAAAAATATTTTTTTTAAAAAAAAAAAGTTATTTTGATTTTTTAAAAAATATTTGGTTTTTGAAACAGACATTCAAACGAACTTATGAAACACTATTTTGAAATATACAAGCAAATTATTCATCTAATATGAGCACTCTTCAAGATATTTTCTCGTTTCATTCTATGGAAATCAATATCCTGACCTGAAAGCTACTATCACCTTATGGACTTATTTGTTATGCATTTCCCCCTCACTAGAGACAATAAAGCCGAAATACACAAGAAACTTTTTTGAGAGCATATAAAGATTGTAACATTTTCCCCTTTCTTTTGAAATTTGAAAAGGGTTATGAGTAAAGCAACAAAGTAGATGAGACAGATACTTTAGCAACTCAGCAGATCCATATAGGAACAATGGATTTGTAGCCTGTGGTCATGGTGTTACCAGCCCTGAGTTGGTTGTCTTGTGGTCCACTTCTTTGAAATGTCTGTTTCAATCTATTTTTGAGGGAAGAAATGATAGCTATTTCTTTCATAATCTTCTCTTTGTTTCGATCATTTACTTATCATGCTACATTGCAATGTGTATAATTGGCCTAAAAAATATGGGGCAATTCTTCTCTTACCCTTTAGCCCTGTCTATTTTATCATTTTATTCATTTAATTTTTTTTTTGCTTATCTTTATATGCAAAACTTTGTAGTGTCATTAGGTTAAAAATTAGTTGTTATCTGCCAGATTAACTTGTTAAGATTCCCATAATATGGCATGTGATTTCCCCAGCAGTATACTGATGTTGATAGATGTTACCGGTTGAAGATTATAACATTAATTTGACTTTAAACGACATGAGAATAACATCCTTCACAATTATTAGGATGGTAAGTGTAACTAACAATTAATCTTATTTGGATACACTTAATCTCATCTTGTATACATGAAATATGAGCGATTCTCTTAAGAACACTATTGTCAGAACTCAACAAAGTAAACCATTCTAATTGTAAATAATTGTATTGTATTTTTTGTACACCTGCACTTTGATTCTACTTTAACGTGAAGTGACGTGTATCTTACAACTAACTATGTATCAAGCATTATTTTACTCTTTTCTATACTCTCCTCTTTTGCTGCTGAAAAGCAACGTGTTTATTCTATCTCCCTTTCTCATTTACATGATGAGTTCCCCAATAACCATAGAGAGAGATAAAACAAGAAAAATATAATGTAAGTAGATTTTTTTTTTTTTTGGATGAATGTAAGTAGATTTTGAAATCCATAAATTATAAGTGGAATCATGTGTCTTCCTAAATGGGCCTACCTTTTGGTGCTTGTGTTGTGTGGGCTAGTGAAAATATATTGGCTTAAAAGGTGAAGTTGATAATTGCCAACACTATTGGCTTTATTTATTATTATGTTTTTCTCTTTATTATTATGCTAATGAATATGATAAACAGCTTGGGAACTAACAGACTAATGACAATATAATTTCTTTCACTTGAAATTAAATCGGTTTTGGCTTCAAATAAAGAAAAATGTAAAACTTCACGTGGGAGATGAGGACAGCTTTACTAATATTTAATTATTGACATAAAGAGAGTGTACGCTAAGAAAAATAACATTAAAGAGACATTTGTAGTTGTAGTGACTAACAACGAGGCAAAATAAAATTAAAATAGTGACTCTAGTTAAATTAGATGTAATTTTTATATGTCAACATTTTAGGGGAATTTAAATTTAAATGCATGGCAGGTTAACGATGGATATTATAAAAATTTTGCAAGTTAACAAAAATATTATGGGATTTAACATTTAAAAAGAAGTTTGGAACTAGAGAGATCCAATTTGTCCACGTTGTCTCTCCCAACGAGGAAAGTCAAATACATGGTGTTTTTACATGTTAAAATAGGTTACAAACTTACAATACTTAAAAGGAGGCTTAAGTATGTTCATATGAAGGTGTTTATTCTAAAAGAAAACACAAAGGAATCTTCCAATGCTCAGTCAGTGTCCCTTTTTTTGCCTGTTTATTGCTCTTCAAAAAGAAATGGTCCCTTCCTCATCAATATTTAGTAATTTTATAAAAAAAAGAACGGACCTAACTGCGATTTTTGTGCTCCCACTTACATACAGCATTGAAGTTCATCAACTTCCCCCTCCTACCCAACTGAAAGCTCCCTCCCACCACCCCTCTTTCTCTCTCAACACAATTTCTTCTTTTTGTCATCCTTTCCATCTAAGCCTCCAAAAGCTCTCTCATGTCATAATATCTTTAGAATCCATCTCCTCCTTTTCTCTCTCTTTCTTCTAAAGGACAATCATTATTTCACAAAGGTCTTCCAAAGAAAACATTCACACAACAAAACCAAAAAAGTTTGGAGGGAGAAGGCAAAAAAAAAAAAAAGTGTCTTTTTTTGGAGAGAGTAAGCATTAAGCAAAGGCAAGGTACACCCATTTTTTAGTTTAGTTTCAATTTTGCAATCATGGGTTGCTCAGCCTCAAGAACCATCACCATAGTGGCCAACAAAAGTCCAAAAGAGGATCCCTCTCCTTCTGTTTCTCTTACTTCTTCTTCTTTCTCTTCTTCTTCTCCTGCTTCACACTGCTACAACTCTTCACCACCGGCTCCCAGAGCTCTATCACTCCCAATGCCTCTTGTGCATCACCCTCCAACCAGAAAGGGTGACACCCACCACCTTGTTTCCCTCACCTCCACCACCTATGGTTCTCTTCTCCTAATTGACCATTCAGACAAAAAAGGCTCCAGCTTTAGCAACAATGAGTCTCATGTTAAGTCCCAATCACCACCCCATCTCACCAAAACCTCTCAAAATCAAACAGAACCAGAGCAGTCACTGTCCCCAGACTCTGTCATCAACATGTGGGAACTCATGGATGGGTTGGATGAAGAAGATTCCCATGACACTGCCAAGCCTCAATCTTCCATTTTTGACAGCCCCGTGTGTGGTGGTATCTCAGACAAAACCAGTTCATGCAGGTACACAACGTTTGATGGGGCTGCAAGGAAGAATCTGCTTGATTCGTTTGAATCACTGAAAGCTTCAGAAAAAGTCATGGAAAATTCTTCTTCTTTTTCCTCATCATTGGCCAAGAAGCCTCTTTGGCAGCATTTATCTGAGGAAGCTTTGCTTGCTAAGTTAGACCCAAGTGTGGCTTGGAGTTACCGAAGAGCATTGTCATCAAGGCAACTAGGTAGAAACAACCTACGCAGAGGTGTGAGGTCAATGGGATCTAGCCCTTTGAAATCTTCTTCTTCTTCTTCTTCTTCTTCATTGCCTTGCACTGAAGACAGAATAGTGGTTTATTGTACGAGTTTGAGAGGGATCCGCAAGACCTATGAAGATTGCTGTTCAGTTAGGATGATATTGAGGGGCTTTAGAGTTGTGGTTGATGAGAGGGATATCTCCATGGACTCATCATATAGGAAGGAGTTGCAGAAAGCGCTTGGTGACAAAGCTGTTACCTTGCCACAGGTCTTTATCAGAGGAAAGTATGTTGGAAATGCAGAGGAAATGAAGAAGCTGAATGAATCTGGAGAATTGGCAAAACTGTTGAAAGGTTTTCCCACTCAAGAACCTGGGTTTGTGTGTGATTATTGTGGAGATGCCAGGTTTGTTCCCTGTTCAAATTGTAATGGTAGCAAGAAGGTGTTTGAGGAAGAAGAAGGAGAATTAAGAAGGTGCCCAGATTGTAATGAGAATGGCTTGATAAGATGCCCAGGCTGCTGCTCATGATTACTGCTGCTGGTGAATATTAGTCCTTGTTATCTTTATCTCTTTTTTCTTTTTCTTTTTTTGGGGGTTGAATTTGTTATGACAAATTTTGACAGCTGCTATGAATGCAGCAAATTTTAATTTCCTTCACTTTTTTCAGTCCTTTTTTATTTTTGTAGTCTTGTTTTCAGTCCTTTTAGTTGGCATTTGTTTGTGTCAGACTTTCGCTTTATTGTGGTTCATTACCTATCTGAACAGCACAAAATAAAAGGTATAATGTATGTGTTTAATTTACAGGGAAGAGTTATATTTATAAATATTTTATTTATAAATTATATTATATATTTTTGGATATTATATATTTTTGAGAATATATAGTATAATTTATAAAAATTTATTTAAAAAAATTTGTAAAGGATCCTTTCCTAATTTATAATCTAAAGTGTCTGAACTCTCATGATATCATGTTTCATTTTATGATTTTATAAGAGTTATGTTGTAGGAAAAATGATTGTGTAATATTATAGAGATTCGTTTTGTGTGCCTTAATTTTTTATTTATTTTTTGTTTTAAAAAATGTGAACTCCATAAAATATTGTGAGAGTAGAAAAATTTATTGTGTTATGTTAAAGGATAAAATAAAAACCATTCATTTTATGAAATAATGTGCAATAACAAGGTCACCATTAGAAAACAGTGAAACTCATACAAATTAGAAGCCCGCGCTTTTATATCATAATATTTAGCTGATACAAACAGGAGTTGCAATATGTGGAGTGGAGGTTAACTGGTATTGGTTTTGTGTCTCCACGTTTGTGCTTTGTCAGTTTCAGCCAAAATAGGCTATTTCGAGGGGGGCAATGTCGTAAGACTGACCCATCTTGCTGCACTTGTACAGTTTTCAGTTTTCACCTTCAACAAATTCTGTGTCATGCAGCTAGCTATGCACCAATACTTTAAAAAAAATTGATAGTTTTCAATACTTTTTAACACTTCAACATATTATGCGGAGACTTAAAAAAGTTTCAAAGATTGTGTTGTATTTTTAATTTTAACTATTAAATTTGTGATTATAATTATTATTTTATTGAGTTTAATATAAATATTTGTGATATCTTATATTTCTTTATATAATTGTTAGGTAATATAACTTTAGCTTCATTTTTTTTTGTAAAATTATTAAATATAATAATTATTGTATAAATTAAAAATATTATTTAATATCAAAACGTATCATAACGTGTCGAAATTTAACATTTTTTAAAATTAATATATCAGAGTGTCGTGTCATGTCATATTCTGTGTCCCATGTTGATGTCGATGTAGTATAATCGTTTTCAATGCATTTTCTTCTTCCCTTTATAATACTTTAAAAAAATTTGTGCTTAAGACAATCATTATTTTCAAAAATGTGATAGAATAGAAACTACTAAAGGCAAATTTTAACCATTGAATAATCGAATTATTCATAAAAAATTGTTCCACAGTCATATAAAATTCCCGGATTACTTCTAGGGACTGTTTGATTCAGGAGAAATTTTTTTTAACTAGATAAATGTAATTACTAAAAAAACGGTGGGAAAATAAATTTGGTAGGGAAGTTTAAAAAAGTTGTTTAGTTGATCAAAATATTACTGAAAAAATTAAGTTAAATTATACGAGTCTATGTTTGGTTGAAAGTAAAATATTGATGAGAAAATTGGTATTAATGGCGAGAATAACCTTAAATTTTGCTGTTGTTACAAAATGCTTTTCTGAGTGTCACATCGCACGGTAATACCACCTTTATTCAAATATTGATGGTTAGTTTTGTCACAAAATTGCACCACTTTTTGCCATTTGAGAGAAAATTATTTGAGATTTGAGAGCAAAACTTTATTCTTTGTATTTGAGAGATCTCTAGAGAGAGAGTTTGAGTGAAACATCTCTAGGGAGGTTTGATTATCACCATTGTTAGACAGGTTGAGTTAACCACTACATTGGTGATTCTGATTATTTGTAACCATTATTTTCATAGTAAATTTTTTGATCTGAACTAGGTCCCGTGGGTTTTTACTTCTTCGTTGGAGAAAGTTTTCCCACGTTAAAACTGTTTGTGTTCTCTCTTTCCTTCTCTCTCACTCTCCTGTTTTTCGTTTTTTTAATTTTTTTCGTTGTGCTGCCTGACGTGGTAAAGTTCAGGCCGATGTATTGCCGAGATCCGAGATCGATGATCTTGTTGATTGACTTCCGCAAAAAAACCCTTGAGCCGATCTGAGGGAATCGAGTTCTCAACACTAGTACCTCAACAAAGTCAATGCTCGAGCTATATAATTAAGGGAAAATGTTTCTATTTTGATGACAACAATTTTTTTTCTGCTACACTTATCTAAAACTAAGCGAGTTCCAATGTTCCACTAATCTTTTTTCATCCACTTATTTTTAAGTGAACGTGACAGATAATTTTTCAGAAACATTAATCTCATATAAATAACCTTAAATAAATCATTTTTTATATAAATAAAAATAGAATACATAATCTATCCAAATCTCTCGTCATTAGACCAAATCTAATGACTTAAAAAATAATCATTTTCCATGGATAGAAACCCGCATCACGTATTGTTCCAAGTTACGTTAAATTAGATTTATGTTGTCAACAAAAGTTTTAATGTTTGATCTCACCTCACCCAAAACCCCAACACAAAGAACCTAAATAATACAAAATCATGAGTATTTAATGGATTTGGGCCAACGAGCCCAGCGCAGAAGAAATCATGGTGTGGGGTCCCCAAAAGGCAGAGAGCAATTTAAAGCGAGCCTCTTACGAGGCTCAAAATCTCGATGCGATCCAATTTAATGTCACATGTTGTCGGTATTCGGTAACTGAGTTACTTCAAAGCTCATTTTACTATGCTCCCTCGTCTTTCTCTTAGATTTAACTCACCCACCCAATCACTTACCACCAACCAAGTAGTAAAAGCCGGTAACTCATAATAAATTTTTTTAGTGTTACTGTTATACTAAGATTTAGTGCATCTCACTCGTGAGAGAAAAAAAATTTGACAGAGAAAAGAAAACTTTTTTTTTTAGAGGTTACAAGGAATTGAACACAACACCCTACACTACACACACTCTTAACACACACCCCACACCACTAGGCTAACCCTAGTGGTAGAAAAAAAAACTTTAACTGACATATAATATTTTTATTAGTGGGATGTACTACATCTTTGGTACACAGTAACACCAAAAATTTATTGGATAACTCAAGCCCCATCTCACCCTTCTCTCCTGAAACAGTTCCCAACTTTGACTTCAGTTACTTTATCATTCAACTTGCATATGCATTAATTGAAGAATATATAATATTATTTACTACTTAACAAAATCATTATTTTGATTTTTTTAATATATTAAATACCTTATTTTTATTTAACATTTCTGTTTTTACTTTCTTTCTTTTTTTATTAATGTTTAGCACTTTTGAAATCTTACGTTAAAAATATGTCCATATCTAAAAAGTATCTGTACTAAATCATGTCTATGTTAGTACATTTTTTTTGAAAACAAAATCTAATATTTTTTAATGTTTTATGGAAATAATATATTTTTCTTTAAGGAAAAAAGTTGAAGTCACCAATTCTAATAAATGAGTCATCGATATAAAATTTGAGAGAGTTTGGAGTTAGAGAGGAATAAGTGGAGGAGGAGAGAAATGGAAGAGAATGGTGAGCACGAGAGAGAAGAGGAAGTGGGAAGGTGTTTGAGTAGTTACGTGGATGAAGGAAGCAATGAGAGTAACAGATACTATTTATCTCGCAGAACAGTGCTTGAGATGCTTAAGGACAGAGGCTACACCATACCCTCTTCTGAAATCGACCTCTCTCTCTCTGAATTCCGTGCCATTCACGGCCAAGCTCCCGAAGTTGACCGTCTCCGATTCTCCGCCACTCACCACTCTAACCCTTCCAAAAGGGTCTCTCCCTAACTCTCTCTTTTTTTCTTTCTTTATTATATTCCTCATTTATTTATTTATTTATGTTTTCCTTTGGATTGCAGATTTTAGTGATTTTCTGTGGGCCAGGTATTGTCAAAGTTAATGTTATACGCAGCATTGCAGGACAGATTGTTAACAGGGACACTTTGACTGGCCTCATCTTGATTGTTCAAAACCGAATTACTAGCCAGGGCTTGAAAGCAGTTGATCTTTTCTCTTTCAAGGCTGAAATCTTTCAGGTTTGTATGCCAAACCGAATTGGTTTTGTTTCATTTGACATGCAATTGTTGATAAAGACAACATCTATTTTTTTCACAAATTGCGAGTTGTCGGGAAATTCAAGTGTGTGATGATTAATTATGTGCCAAATAGATTAAGAATGGACTAAATAAATATGATATAAGAGGAGGGACCTATTAAGGTTCTTTATTGAGATTGGGTGTCAAGCGCCTTGGGTTTTTTGCTTAGCCTGTGATAAGAACCTTGGGATGCACCATCCCAAAAGCTAGCTCAAATGGTGGGAGTGCTCAAGGTCTTATAAACCCCACATTAGTTGTCCATACAATCAATGTGGAACTCAAGTCCCATACCTTGCAAATGGGATCGTAACATTCCACGACGCTTTGCAGCCCCGACACCCACGCGGGCTGGCTTTGCGCTAGTTTTTTACTAGCTCCAGGCGAACACTGCAATGCCGGCATCACCATCCATGCCGCTCGATTGCAGCCGGGAGACATAGTGGAAGGCTCTGATACCAATTGATAAGAACCTTGGAATGGACCACCCCAAAAGCTAGTGTCCAAGGCCTTATAAAACCCACATTAGTTGTCCATACAACTACTCTGGGACTCAAGTCTCATACCTTGCAAATGGGATCGTAACAACCTGACTCTCCCTTGTTTGGGCTCCCCTCTTTCATAACATGAGTAACTGCGGCATCTCATTTTGAATGGCTTGAATTTATATCCAATTGTGCATCAGTGATGATCCACCAAGTACTTTTTTATCCCTACAACTTAACTATTCACTTTATGAGTTGATAATCCCTACAACATGAATTATGTGTCTCTGTAATTTTTGTTTTCTCCAATATGAAACAACTTGACTGATTTTCTCATGTGTGACAAAAATTATCAGTTTCATGCCCAACAATTCATGGAAACTTTTTCTCCCTACTGTTCAGATTACAGAGTTGCTCGTTAATATTACAAAGCATGTATTGAAGCCAAAGCATCAGGTGCTGACTGATCGGCAGAAACAAAATCTCCTGAAGAAGTACAATATAGAAGAAAAACAGGTCAGTTGATACAACTTGGGAAAAAATTATATGATGCAACTTGGGAAAAAAATTATCTCACGGATGAATGAAGTCTTTTGATTTGTTTATGGTTTGGGTTGAATTTCATTACTTGAACTTTCCTTGTTTGATAATTGACACGAAAATTGTCTATTATGTACTTCTTGGCTGTGGTTACTTATATAGCATAGAAGTATAATATGCTTAATCATGGTAGTTAACTAGTTTTCGTAAGCACGCCGTTCATAATTTAATATGATTTGGAAATCTGAAATGCTATCAAGTCAATAAGTATAAGTTTTACACATGAAAATACCTTAATTATAATTATGTGTTTTAGACCATCTCGGCGACGCTTTAGTTTATCTCTGATTGATTTCTGAATTAGATCTTATTGTAGCCATATGTGTTGTTTATAGTGTTATCCCATAATGACTGCTCCATAATTGCAAGCTGTCACATGGTTTCCTCTTAAGGAATAGCTCTCAACACTTATTCTCTCTATGGAATAAGTGTTTGAATTGTTTCCTTTTTCTGCTTTAATTGATTACCATTTCTAGTCTTTGGTCTACAATTAATTCTTCATTTTTATTGTTTTCCTTAATTTTAGGGATTGATGTTTCCTTAATTTTAGGACCTGTTAATCAGAAGATTGATTCTGTGTAAAATTTTCTATCTATATATCTTTGTACAATTGACATTACCAATGAAAAAAAGAATCATTCCTCACATATTCTAATTTTTTATATGGTATCAGAGCCCTCATCCGAGGGCCTGATTTAACCATGTCCCAATCTGCATTTTGATTTGGAACCATGCGAGCCTTTCAAACCTCCACCCTAGACACCACGTCCTCCACAACCCAACCAGAGATGCAGTCACACCAAACAGTGGATGCCAGGAACCTGCAACATGGCCTATTGCCAATGACAACCCTGTGCTAATAATTACATGGCATAGATTTGATGGAGGCAATTACCTTCGATGGTCTTGCAGCATAACGATGTTCATCTGTGGACATGGAAAAGAGGGCTTTCTCACAGGGACTGGGGATGCAATGCAACCTCCTGTCACAGACCCAAGATACAAATGATGGTTGACTGAGAATAATAACCAAGTCATGGCCTGGCTCGTGAATTCCATAATCCCTGAAATAGGGGAAACTTTTATGTTGTGTTCCATGACAAAAGAAACTTTGTATGGTGTTAGAGAGTCATTCTCTAAAGAAGATAATTCCGCAGCTTTGTTCCATATTAAAGGGATCTTGCGAGATTTCAAATAAGAAGACAAAGATTTGACTCGTTACTAATACCTGGCAAGATCTTGTGGGCAAATCACACTGATGTTTTGCTTTACAAGAAGATTGTGGAGAAGGATTGAATATATCAATTTCTTTTGGCGCTCAATCCTATCTTTGACTTAACAAGGAGCAGAATCATGGCCATAAAACCCTTATCAACAATACGTGGGGTATTCTCTAAACTAAAATGGGAAGAAAGGAAACAACTTTTAACCAATAACCTCAAAAAATTGCATACTGCCCTAGAAAATAGTGCTTTTGCTGCCGGGAAACCATCGTGATTGACAAGAAGCCTCAACGAAATGGGAGGCCTTGGCATGAGCATTGCAACAAGCCATGGCATACCAAAGAGTCAGAGACGTATGTTGGAAGATTCATGACAAACCTGGCAATGGAAACCACTCCAAGGAGAGAACGTGGACTTATGGCCACTGCAGAGGAGGATCATCCTGAAAGTTCAGGAGCTGGAATGTTTACCAAGGAGCAATTATAAGTCATCCAAAAGATGATTAATGCTAAGGACATAAATCTAGGACCAACAACCCATCCAATACCTATTTAACAGCTTTGCAAACCAACACTGGAAGTTCTGAAACATGGATAGTTGACTCTGGAGCAACTAATCACATGACGAGTAATGTCTTTCTTATCTCTAGTTATATCCCTCACCACACGAAACAAGTTATAAAACATCAAATTGGAGTGAAGCTACGGAAAAAGGAATTGGAACAATTAAATTATCAAACTCCCTAATTCTGAATGGAATTCCCAAATTTTACTTATAATTTGATCTCTATAACAAAGCTTGCAATAGACCTGAAGTGTTTAGCATTATTTGACTCTGATGGTTGTGTATTTTAGGATTTGCCATCGAGAAAGAGGATTGGCAATGCTAGGACATATGTAGGCTTATATTATCTTCTACCATCCGAGAACATTCGTGAAGAAAGAATCAGTCATATGACCACCTCCACCAACCTTGACAAAGTTATTTTGTGGCACTTTAGATTAGGGCATCACAATTTTCAATAAATGAAAAGAATGAACCCTGATTTGTTTTAAGGAAATTTCTGTTTTCCCTTGTGAAATTTACCAATTGTGCAAGCATGTGAGAGCCTCTTACCCTCCTCATGGACACAAACCCTCTAAATCATTCTCTAATTCGTAGTGATGTGTGGGGACCAACTAATACACAGAATATAAATGGTGTCAAATGGTTCATCACCTTTATTGATGATCATACAATAATGAATTGGGTCCGCCTCCTAAAAATTTGAAGTTACACAATCAAAAACTTTCATATGTTCATCCAAAATCAATTTCAAGCCCGAATTCAAGCTTAAAGATCTGATAATGCTAAGTAGTATTTCAATCTTGACCTTACCATTTACCTCCAAAGCAATGGCATAGTTCACCAAAGCTCTTGTGTCAATACACCACAACAAAATAGAGTAGCCGGAAGAAAAAATCGTCATCTTTTAGAAGCTATCTGATCCCTCATATTTGGTTCTAACTCACCTAAATACTATTGGGGGGAAGCTATTCTTACAGTCACTTACCTCATCAACAGGATGCCTTCAAGAGTTTTACAATTGTTATCACCCTACCAAAAACTGCTACAAAGCCTTCCACAAATGAACATCTACCAAATCTTCACCCAATATCTTTGGCTATAAAACTCTCATTCATACTACTCAAGGAGGTAAACTTGATCCAAGATCCATTAAATGCATGTTCCTCGGGTACTATTCCACTCAAAAAGGGTACAAGTGCTACAATCCCCATACTAGGTGCACACGCATGACTATGGATGTATCTTTTTTGAGGATCAGCCTTTCCATTCCCAATCCACCATTCTGGGGGAGGCACCTTTTACCACAACAAATTCAGAATGGTTAATTGCTGAATTCCATAAAGAATTCCATGAACATAAGATCCCAAACACAAACCTACCTAAAATCCCAAACACAACCCTTAAAAATCATGAATGTGTTGGTGATGACAGTCACCAAGACACACCCCAGAATGTAATTGTCTACTCCAGGAGATACCAAAAATCGACCAGCCAACACAACTCTTATTCTTGCAAGTGTTATATGTCCTGACATTGATCAGTCTACTTCCCTTGTCCCAAATTCTGAAAATGACTTGGACCTACCGATTGCTTTGCGTAAAGGGGTAAGAAGCTGCACCAAGCATGCAATAAGAAATTTTATTCGTTATGACACTTTGTCTAGTAAGATGCAGGCTTTTGTGCACAATGTGAGCACACACAACATTTCAACCTTTTTTACCGAGGCAATTAGTCAAGGGGAGTGGTAAGCAGCCATTAAAGAAGAACTAAAGGCTCTTGAAAGGAATTGCACTTTAGAAATTGTGGACTTGGCCCCTGGAAATTCTCCTGTTGGATGCAAATGGGTATTCATTATTATATAAACCAAGGATGGCACTATCAATCCCTACAAAGTAAGGTTGGTGGTCGAAGGTTTCACACAAACATAGGAAATTGACTAACAGGAAACATTTGCCCCAGTTGTTAAGTTTAACTCAATTAAGATACTATTGTCTATTGCTGCATGTCTTGATTGGCCTCTTTGATAGATGAATGTCAAAAATGTCTTTTTGAATGATGACCCATAAAGAGGTTTATATGGAGATTTCTCAAGGAGTAGAACAAACACACAGATCCAAGAAGGTATGCAGATTTCACAAAGCATTTTATGAACTTAAACGGTCTCCAAGAGCATGTTTCGACAAATTTACATCAGATGTTAAAACCCAGAGCTATAATCAATGCCAAACCAACCACACTTCATTCGTTAAGTTTGGTACAAGTCAGAAAATTGCCATTTTAATTGTCTATGTTGACGATATTGTAATCATAGGTAATTGGTATGATGAGATTAATAGATTGAAGGAAATCTTGGCTAAAAAATTCAAAGTCAACAACCTAGGCAAATTGAGGTATTTTCTTGGAATGGAGGTGGCAAGTTCTAACAAGGACATCTCAGTATCTCAAAGGAAATACACGCTTGACTTACTTAAGGACATAGGGATGTTAGGTTGTAAACCATTTGACACACTGACACACCCATGGAAGCCAACTACAATGTGGGTCTTAAGCAAGTTAGTTCACAAATTGATACTGGGAGACATCAACATCTTGTGGGCTATCTAACACATACTCGTCCTGATATAAGCTTTTCAGTTAGTGTGATAAGTCAGTTTATGAACAATCCAAATGAAGAGAATTTGGAAGCCTTCTATAGAATTTTGAGATACTTAAAAATGACCCCAAGCAAGGTTCTGTTTTTTAAGAAATCAACTCAACAAGACTTGATCATTTACATGGATGCTGATTGGGCCAGTTCTGATATTGACAGGAGATCCCCACTGGTTATTGCACCTTTGTTTGGGGAAACTTAGGGACTTGGAGAAGCAAAAAACAACTCGTGTTGCTAGAAGCAGTGCAGAAGCAAAGTATACAGCTCAAGCCTTGGGATTTTGTGAGGGCATGTGGATTCTCAGGCTCCTAAAGGAGCTAAATCTCTGTCATGGTGCCCTATGAAATCCTTCCAATTCATTATGGCAGAATTAAACATGTTGAGATTGATAGGAATTTTCTACAGGGGAAAATTGAAACCAAGATTATTGATCTAAACTACATATCCTCAGGATCACATATTGTTGATGTACTCACCAAATCTCTCTCAAGAATCAAGTTTGATGAGTTAATTAGCAAGCTGGGAGTGCTAAACATCTAGATTCCAATTTGAGGGAGTGTTGTTATCCCTTAATGACTGCTCCATAATTGCAAGTTGTCACACGGTTTCCTCTTAAGGAATAGTTGTCAACGCTGTTTCTCTTTAAGGAATAAATGTTTGAATTGTTTCCTTTTTCTGCTTTAATTAATTACCGCTTCCGGTCTTTGGTCAACTGAATTAATTCTCTGTTTTTTTTTTATTTTCCTTAATTTTAGGGATTGATATTTTCTTAATTATAAGCATGGTGGAGGGTTAGACTCGTTGTTATTCCTATGTTCCAGATGGTCCTTTTTTAGTCTTTTTCCCCTTCATTTCCCCCTCTTCTTCTTTTCCCTTTCTTTTTTGCTTTTCTTTTTATATATATATATTATTACTATTTTATTTATTTATTTATTTTTTTTCAACCTTTTTGTATCTCTCATTTGGGTTCATCTACCACCGACCCCAATTAATTTGGGATAAAGGTGTTGTTGATGTTGATGTTGATAGGACGTGTTACTTGGAAAATTGATTGTGTAAAAAAATCCTGTCTATATATCTTTTGTACAATTGACATTATCAATGAGAAAAAGAGCCATTCCTCACATTCTAATTTTCTATAATATGAAATGCTGAGATTTTGTATTTATTCTTGTATTACGTATATACAAATTATATTGTGACTTTCTTATATTCCATTAATCTTAAATTTCAGCATTGTTGTTCTTATTCCAACACTTGTATACTTATATCAAGTTTTGTTGTTTCTCAGCTTCCCCGTATGCTACATACAGATGCAATTGCACGATACTATGGATTTGAGAGGGGGCAAGTAGTTAAAGTTACCTATAGTGGTGAAATCACAGAGATGCATGTCACATATCGATGCGTTTGGTGATACTTTGTTGTTATCTCTTTTGTATTTTGTTGGCTGAATTCGTAGAACTCAAGCTGTTGTGTCATGTTTAAGAAGTTTGTGATCCCGGGTATCCTTATGTTTTGAACTATATAGCCATGTCTGGCATCCTACTGTGCTATGTATTTTGCATTTGTTGCATGACATTGACATATCAACTCAAAAATTCACATTAAGCATTTTTTTTATTAGAAGCACATTAAGCTTCTTTACAAGATATATCAAAATATCTATCTTCATGGAAAATAAATAGATGTACAACTTTATTTCATAGTTTCAAGGTAAATCACCCAGGATTTGAACCTACTGGGGTTTGATGAATTTGCAGACTTAAAAGATGTTATAGGGTGCTTAGTGCTTACCATAAAGAACGTGAATCAATTCGTATGGAATCATATTCCATACTGATCTGGGCAGGCAATTGTATTCATGATAAAGTTTTGCTGCTGTTGTATTCATGTCCGACTTTTAATGGATTAGTCGAGTAATTAATGAATTGATAGATAAATTTAAATATCAAATGGTGAGCTTGAGGCAATGGTAAAATTATTTCTCTATAATTAAAAAGTCACGAGTTCAAATATGAAAATTGTGTACAAGGATTGTTTTTATCTCACCCTCAGTTTAATGGGAAGTAATTCTTATTTTTTTTAGATAAATTTAGTAAGTTACTAGTTGTGATAAAACAGACAATTCCATAATAAAGCAATGAACAGTAAATTATTCACCCCGTATCAACCTCTTCTGATTTCGCGTTTTCACCATTTTATAAATAAGAAATCTCGGGGACATGTGAAAGTTCACTGATTGATGGATGAAGTATCATATTTTGCTCCAATGGACTATAGCAATAGATACGCCACATGCAACCATTAGAATCAAGAATGAAGATGCCATAACATCATGACACCATACTGTATTAATTCCCTTGAAAATGAACTACTAACACTTCGAAAGCAATAATATGCTGGTATTGTCGGGTATTGGCCATACCCACATCAAGTGCTTTGCAACAAGAAGGTACAGACAGACAGAAAACGAGATTCATGAGGATTATGTCTTCACCAATTATTCAAACCTGCATCAAAACATACTAACCCCAATTTGTATTTGTCTCAAGTCTTGACCATGGGTGCTTATGCCTCAAATCCAGGCTGCCCCTGCCCCTGCCGCAACAAAAGAAAGAAGGATTTGGCTTCCAAGTGACTTGTCCAACGAATTGTGCTTATTAGTTATCTTAAGACGTAAGCCATTCATAGAGATTTTCTCAATAAACACCAAAATCTATTGAACGATTTACACATCCGGCGGCTTAAAGTTATTGCCAAGTAAGGAATGTGTGACTCAGATTCCAAACAATCAAAAATTATTTGCAATGTACAGGGAATTTTGAAATCAGCTCTTCAGTGAAAATGCTCCTTCTAACAAATTAAAAAGGTTCAAAACTGTAGTTGTCAATATAGGTTTATTTCCCATTGACTTCAACATGTTTAGAAGAAAATAAAACAAACAAGAGGCCAAATATGCAAGCAAGTGTTTAAGATTCTCAATTCTTCCGAGCCAACGCTGCAGCAATGCCACCAACTATAAGTCCTACAGCTGTTGCAGTAATGCCAATTCCTATAACACCGTCTGCATTGATACACACGAAATTTGCAATTCCTTTAGTTAATGCTAAGATTACTTGATAAAGGCCCAAAAAACAAGTCAGTTACTACCTTTAGCAATTCTATCTTCGACTATTTTCTTGAGGGACAGTGCCTGCCTCCAATCAGGTGCAATCTACAAGAATGAAAGGGCCAAACAAAAGGAAGAGAGAGACAACTTGACTGAATCATTCATGTTAGACCATGGATGTAAACATAGTGTTTCAAATAGGCCATGGTGGCCAAATTTCAATATGATTATAATAGAGTTTAAATTTGACCCATTGTTCGTGTAAAAATCTCCAAAGCTATCAGTATTCAAGAAAGTGTAACAGCATTGTACTGATAAGATTTTTCACAAATAATATGATGTCCTTAATAGTTAACCATATAAAATGATGATTTGGCAATGGAAAGCAGGAAAATAGAGTTCCTACTAACTATCTATGAGATATAAGTGAGAAAGACAGACCTCCAAACATTGGTCGACAAGCTCTCGACTCCTACCATATTCATTACTCCGGTAATATCCAACAGCCAGAAGATAAAGCTTCTCTCTTTGATGCAAAGGACTTCTATCATTGCCCAAAGAAGCTGCAAATCATAATTAAGGACGTACAATGTTAACCATGCATATAATGTAATTCAATATCGAGGATGTCTGTGAAAGGTCTATATAACAAAGCCATAGAAAGAATTGAACTCAGCAGCGTGAGCTGTTCAGGCTAACCTTTTTCTAAAATAAAACTTAAAATGCTAAAATATGCACCCATATAATAGAAGAAATCTGTTCTGCACTGCTCAAGGCAGTGAAACCATGAAACAATATTTTCAGTGGTATTTATATGGAGTGAACAGAAATAGCTGTAGGGAATTTGAGATATTTTTAAGGCCCAGTTCAATATGTGCCTTGCAAATGCTAGTTTAGTAAATTCACCATCATAAATTAAAGTTTCCTAATAATCACAATAGACCCCATGGCAACTTTACCGGCCCAATCAATAGTTGCCTTGCATATGCTATTTTGGAATATTTCCAATTCTCCATTCAGACTGGCAGAATAATGAAACAACTCACAATGAACACATACATTACATTAGTTGTGCAATAATGGGCAGAACAATCCGAGGTAGCAGTCATATGTGAGAGAATGAAAATGATTAAGATTAATACATTATACCGTCGAGATGTCATGAAATCACAAGGATAGAGAAGATGGGCCGCATTTCAGATGAATAAACTCAATTAATGAAAAGCATAAAAGAAATAAAATGTCTTCTAAACCACAGTAGCTTTACAGATTCATCAGGATAGAAACTGAACATAAAACTGATTTTGAAACATTAGAGAAACAGAGAGTACGAGTGTGCGTCCGGCTTGTATTTTGTTTCCATTTTCTTTTGATATGTTTTCCCTAATAATTACAAAAACATTACACTGTGTTCACTTTGTCTCCTATTTTCAAGAATTTGCAAAGGAAATGGTGAAAACAAACCAAACGCACCCCAATTGTTTCTCAAGTGTTCATAAAAGGCCAGAGCCAAAATGCTGAACGATAAATATTAACTCTATATAAAGAAATAGTTTATTAAAAGCAGATCACAATGTTTCCTACTTTCAAGCATGGCTATCCCGCGCTGAATATCTTCTTTTAGCCTCGAATGAACAAGTGCCCACGACAACCTCATTATGCTCTCATTCTTCCGCTCCTCAGAGTCACCATTAGAAGCCTCAGCAACTTCCCTCTCACAGCCCTTCAAATATATAAAAATTATCAAGACTGAAGGAAGCAATGCAAATAGCATTAAAGACTACACCCAGTGCAAGCCAGTTCATTACAGCAAACAAAATAGCTAATCGATGGTAACAAGTCAAACAATGTCTCCAAAGCTCCCATTACTGCCACAATTGTTTACCCAGAGAATTACCAATAGAATTTTCTCCACTTTTTCCACTCAGTTTGCAATTTTATTTTCTTTTTCCTTTTCCAAATCTGGTTATGAAAGGTAGGGCACAAATAAAAGAAAAGGTTCCCTAAACGCATATAATCCGCCAAAAAAAAATAAAAAATTTTCAAGGAAATGTTTAGAACAAAATATCGATTTAACGAATCCCATGAAAGGTTAACGTAAAACAAATCAACCACAAATCGAATCAATTAGTTCATGTTTGGGTGATATCATGATTCAAAAGAAAACTAGGGTTTTCAAATACAGAAAAAAGAAAAACATGGATTTGAGATTGACGGAAGAAGGAAAATGGAAATGAAGGGAGATTACAGCGATGACGTCACGGTCACACCACGGGATCTGCTCGCCGCCGGAGAAGAAGTTTCCGATGGACTCGAAGAAGCTTCCGATCTTAGCGTCCATTTGCGATTGTAGTATTCGACGGTGACTCCACAGAGTTAATATTTATAGGTTTGGGGTTTTTGGAAATTCGCACCCTTTAAACAATTTTTTTTTTTCACTTTTTGGTAGGTTTAAGAAGAGTTACGTTGTAAGAAAATTGACTGTGTAATGTTATACAGATTCATTTTGGGTGCTATAGTTTTTTTTTTTTTTGCTTCAAAAAATGTGGACCCCACAAAATATTATATGTGTAAGAAACTTTTTTGTGTCAAGTTAAATGATGAATGCAAACCCCTTGATAATATGGGACCAATTATTCTTCTTTTCTTTTGTAAGTGTAAAATGAATAATAATTCTCTTGTTTCTGAAAAATAAATTGAGAAAAAAAAGTTTCTCATTTGGAAGGATAGTTATTTTAATTAAAATTAGTATTTTCGTTATTTAAAATTTAACTTAAAAAAAAATCACGGCATAATTTTTATTATGTATTTTTTTTCACTTAAAATGACATAATTCTATAGTTATTATAAATAGTGTCGTAAACGTCCCACATTGTATATATGTCTTTGTATCTCTCAATGTTGTCAAACTCGAGTTTCTACATAGAAACGGAAAGGGGTGATAGAAACGTAAAACGTAGAAACGACACGAAACGTAAAATTTCTAGTTTCTACTACTTAAGGTCAAGATACAAAACTATATATGCATGTAAAAAAAAATATAACATAATGACCATGTATATTGAGCCACTTATCTATCTAAAAAGAAAAATTATTTTTGATTACCAAGTATCAAAATATAAACAATGATAACTAACAAGCAATAGATAACCAATCTGCTCCAACTGCTTCATATACTGTACAGATTTTGGATCATCGCTCAGCAGGATATAATTCCACTTCTTTCAATGCACATAATGATCCAAAAACACAAAACGATTCTCATAGCATAACTTATAATAGAATTGCAGCTTTATAAGACATAATAATAAAAGATATATATCCAAACAAAAAAATATCAAGATACTGTGCATATGATTTGGAGAAAACGAAAATTGGTTTTTTTATTAATTTCTTTTTTAGTAAATCTTTTTTTAAAATTTTTTCCTTTTAAGTAAAAAGGGTCAAAACGATAAAAGTGGAAGTTTTTACTGTTTTTACACTACGTTTTTACAAGTTTTTATGAAGGACCATTTTTACTTGTTATTTAACATGCACCACTCTAGTTATCAACTTTGCAATTTCTCGTTTCAATATTATTCATATATTAATAATCAACATTAGAAAATTAAGTATGTTATTTAAAATAAAAAATTAAACATTTCAGGTTTTAAGTTTAGAAGTCGCTTGCATTGATTTACTCTCCTTACGTTTTAAATTTAAGTGATTGTTTTAATAATGGTGTATAACGCAAATTGTTGTTAGAAGGAACAACAAATATTTGATTTTTAACTCCCTACAGAAAAAAAAAAAAAAAAAAAAAAAAATCTGGATGCGCCCCTTATTAGAATCACGCACAAAGCTCAAAACAAACAATTGGTTTCCTTTTCCTTCTCCCTCATCTTACTTCATCTCCACCACTTCCTCAATCCAATAACACAGAAAATTACCATTCATCGTGCCAACAAGATGGACTCATTGAGCCACACCATGGTAATAATAACCTCATTAACATTCAACACACCAAATCTTTTTCAAAACCACTAAAAGACCCAGAAACCCCGTTATCACTTTTACCACCATGCTATTGGAATTTGTTAACACCAAACCCCCAAAGAATCTATGCTTATTACTTCATCCATCCTTAACAGTTTACCCAATTATTCAATTAGTACCAATGAAGCTAATTATTTATTCAACGGATAAAAGATGTTACTTGTCCTACCTCCCTCTAGGACAGACCAAAGAAGTAACCACTTGCATATTTTCAGGCATCCCCTACTCTTCCAATTCTCAGATAAACTTGGCACTTGGCAACCCTTTTGCCATCTTCACCCCAAGAAAGCTTGAGTTTTTCAACTACATCTTCCCCAAGAAGCTCCACTCCTTTCTCCTTTGCTACATGATATGCTGACCATGATTTGATGTAAGCCAAGAAACCATTCAAATCAATCTCTTTCTCTATCACAAACTCAAAGGGTCCTGTGTGATCATTTCCATCCACAGGCTCAAATGGAAAATCAATGCTTTTATAATTGTCATCAACCCATCTGCGAGCTGGATCAAAATAAGGGCTTCCATCAATGGAATATAATCGATCAAGGATAGCGTCTACTTCATCATTAATTCTTGGCAAAGAGTAACACCAAGCAGCGATGACTCCGTGAGGCTTCTTGAGAACCCACTTGACTTGTTCGTAGAAGATTGGTAGGTCAAAATAGTGCATGGCTTGAGCAATGGTCACAAGGTCTATGGTCCCCTGAGGTGCCACCTTTTGTTCAAGCTCGGCCATGGTCATGGTTGAAGAGGTATGTTGGTAACGCACATTAAGTAGCTTGGCTGCAAATTCAAGTTGCTTATCACTAGCATCCGTGGCTATGACATTCTTGTATATTGCAGCTAACTGTAATTACAAATTAATTTTCATCACAGCAAAAGCATTGAATACAAGTTCAAATAAGCTCAGCAAGATACAAATATAAATTTTAACTATAATTTTAAATTAATTATTAAATTCATCATTCTTACCGGGGAAAAGTGTTTATAATTTTAAATAACATAGACTTAGGTCATTTTAAGAGAGAGATAGACACAAAATAATATTTTTTTTTATTTAAAATTTAAATTCAAAAAACCATCCACTTTCTCTCTCCCATGATTTCTATTTTTGGTGTCTATCTCTCTTCTGAAATGACATAACTTATGTCATTTAAAATAACAAACATCAAACCTTTCTTATAATACATGTTTAAATGTAGGGTTCACTTTTTCTGTTTTTAATGTAAATAACATTTAGTCTAAAACAACATCGTTTTAGAATGAAAATTAGAGTATTTTTATAATTATAATTTATTTTAGAGTTATAATAGTCTTTCTCATTATAATTTTTTAATTCAAAACGACATCGTTTTAGAAGTCGTAAATAAGTTATCTACCAACATTAAAGCCTTAAATCTAAAAGAAGAAATTAAGTTGAATTTTTTGTATACTATCCATAGATTCGTGGATTACTCCACTAATCTGGTTCGAATCTGGTAAAAACACATGGATAATAGAACTCTCCATAACAAATTTTATATGTTATCCTAAACATTAGAAGTTGAGAGTACTGAAAAGCTGAAATTGTGATGAAAGAGAAGGTACAGATATAGCAGCTTGGCCGGTTCCGGTGCCGACGTCCCAAGCAAGTTGGTGAGAGGGTGTCTTTGAAGCAATGAATTGAAAGAGCTGCGGCGGATAACTTGGCCTTCCTTCTGCATATTGCTGTGCCAGATAACTTGGCCTTCCTTCAACGTAATGCTTTCCCTGCTTCGCAAATTGCTCTGCCATCTCTCTTTTTCCTTTTCTACTTTCCTTTTTCTTATAGAATCCAATTTCTAAATGCGTTATTTTATAAAACAAAAATGGAAATAATGACTGACATATACCATGACGTCATGAAAACTTTTGCTTTTGGGTGTCCAAAACCAATTTCGATTTCGATTATTCTATTTTAAGTAAAACTGTAAAAGGTCTTGGTGGTAACATTCTTCGGAACTCGTGTTCTTATAAATATGCAATATGGACGAGGAGTTTCAAATGAAATTTTGGAACAGTGGACAAAGTGTTACTTTGGAAAAAAAATACTTTAATAGTAAATTTTGTCAAAATATCATGTGGTATATTTCGCTACTCTGTGTAATAAAATATGTGTAAATAATTCGCTACACGGTGTAGCAAAATATGTCACGTCAGAACAATAAATGCCATGTGTCAGACAGGGAGAATTTCGCTACACCGTGTAGTGTAGCGAAATTCTCCCTGTCTGACACATGGCATTTTTGGTTCTGCGCATTCTGACGCGGCATATTTCGCTATACCGTATAGCGAATTATTTATACACATATTTTGCTATACAATATAACGAAATATGTCACGTGCCATTTTAAAAAAATTTATTATTTACATGACATTTTGATGTCTTTTTGTTTTTCAATAGTGTCACTTTGACCACTGTTCCTGAAATTTTCAACTTAAAGGGATAATTAACACACTTTTCAAGACATGCCCGATTAACACTCAGAGGGTCAATAAAAGTTTCTACACTTTACTCAATTCGTGTTGGACTGTTGGTCAATTCAAAATATAAGCTGAGTGGGTATAGAAAGTGTATTCCGATCAGCTTATTAAATGCGATTGGAGCATCCATTCGGTGGGAATATTAAGTTACCGGGTCAGTGGTTAGACGGATGGGTTATTGATCACATTGATTGACCGAATATATATAAAAATATAAAAATATATATAAATTTAAACATATAAATTTAATTACATTTTTCATATTTAAAATAAATTAAACAAGGTTTATTAAATAAGCTAAAAAACAAGAAGCATAAATAAATAAAAATACATATTATTATTTTGTCAATTTAAATTACAACTTAAAATTTTTATAAACATATCTCTCAATGATGTTGAACTTATATTTTTCAAATTCAACTACATTAAAAATGATATATGTTACATTCTCTTAATTTATTATTCCGAAAATTACTTCAGTATTGAAAGCTGAAATTTGAGGTAATTGTGTAAGAGCATACTAGCAAATAAAATTACAAAATATTTTTAAAATGAGTTCTACATTTTTTTTTTTTGACAAGATGAAACAATTTTGATTTTTTAATTTTTTTTTAAATGCATGACCTGACCGGGTCATCGATTTCGACCGGGTTGATGGATGACCGGTCCAATGCTTGACCCAAACCGGTCCGATGACCGGTTCGACGGGTTCCGGGTCAGGTGGGATTTTACAATTATGATTCGGATAAAGCATTCTTTTAAGGGATTTATAATTCGAGAATTGAAATCTTCCTACACACTCTTCGATTTTTGTGCTAACGTGGGTTCTATATATACTTTTTTTTAATATATAGGTCCCACATATTTTTTATCTCTACAACATAAGATTTCAATTCTCTTGTAATTTGAGAATTATAAAACCCTTCTTTTAATATTGGTGGGTAAAAGAATTCTTCATTAAATTTGATTAGATAAATTTTTTTAAACTAATGCAATCAAACATGTTATTGATATTGACGGAACTAGTCACATATCCGAACGACAGTAGAGGTGTTCGCGGTCTGGATTGGATCAGGTTTGCAAGCAAAAATCATCTGATCCAATACTTTCGGTTTGATCATGTAATCATCCTTTCGGTTTGGATTTTTTTTTCAAATCCAATCCAATTTCTTTTTGTTTGGAATGGATTGATTTTTGATTTTTTGAAAAGCCTAAAATTTGTTTGATGATTATTGTGCCAATAACATCTTTTGTGTGTATTGGTTTTGTAAAGTTTTTTTTTTTTAATACAAGAGCATCAGTTAACAATAATCTAACTTTTTTTTGGGCAATGAGATATGAAACTCTACACAGACGAAATTTTGCTAAAGGAGTGTGACTAGGTTTTTTCTTGAGTTCTTGAGTTTAATTGATGGGCTAATGGGTCTTGGGTTTAGAATATTTTTGGTTATGATTGAGGAAAGGCCCAAGTAGGTAAACAAGAATTAATATATTGGGCCGGTTTTCACCAGCCAAACAAAAAATCGTTCCAATCCAATTAAAATTTGTGGTTTTTTTTAATTTTCAATTTTCGATTATTCGTTTTTCGATTTGGTCACTGCGGTTTGGATCGGTTGATGAACACCCTTAGACGACACTGATATCATGTCAGCGCCACATAGACAATCTGTTACCATAAAACTTCGAAATGATATAATTTTTAACTTGGGTATCCAAGGCCACAATGAAGAATTTTCTTGGCTAGTGCATTAAATTCTAGCTTTCTCCAATCTCCATCAGTATATTCAGCAATGAGCTTGGGAATAATTTTTTGGTTTTCAACTTTCTTTATGCTCTGGAAGTCTCCGTTTTCAGCCACGTTCCAAACTTGGAAATTGTTAGCTTTGATGCAAATCTCCATCATGTTCTTCAAGTAATTACAGAACTTTCCTTCAAAAAGAGGGTCTTTGTGTGGAGAATCAATCCTTGATGATTTCCATCAAGTCCATGTTGGGATCTACTCTTCAGGAGTTACCTGCACAGATAAGAGAACACAACCCTAGTACTAATTTTTGGTCCCAGATAAACTCAAGAGGGGGTGAATTGAGTTTATTAAAAAATTTGCAATTTAAAAACACATGCTACTAAAGTAAAATAAAAAATAAAGGGAAAAGTGACACAATTATTTTAACGTGGAAAAAACTCCAACTAGAGGGGAAAAACCCACAACCCCAATTTGGATACCTCTATCCAATTGAGATACAAATCCACTATCGATCAATTTAAAGTACAAGAATAGACTATATTCTACCTTTATGCAAGAATTAACATGAAACCTTACTTGAGGTTTCCGGAATCCTATCCCTAGGATTATCACGAAGTTTAATCAAAGACTTTCTGAAGCCAAATGACTCCCGTCTTTATTCAGAACAAATAAAAACTGACTTATTTCTAAGCCACGATCTTTTTCTAGGTCAAGAAGAACATATTCTAATCAAAGACTCTCTGTAACACCCCAAATTCTGACAATTTATAATAGCATAAATAAATTCAATATTTTATAAATAACAGCGGAAGTTCAAAATAATCGAATTTGGGAAGTGTTACCGCCGCACCTGTACAGGGACAAGTGCAAGGCTAACTCTATACATTCAAATCAAAATCTAAGACTACAATTTTTTTTTATACATAATATTTATGACAGCTAGAAATCCTGAGTCGTATCCTCACTGCCTACTGCTAGCCCGATTCCTTGCCACCTGATTTATTGAAAATCTGCTCCCCCGCAGCCGCAGGATCATTGCAGTCAAACAATCACAAACAGTCAGCAAAGCTGGTAATCCCAATCAAAATACAAAAATTAATAAATAAATAAATAGAACTCATAATAATTAAATCAAGTAATATAACTCAAAAATTCAAATCAAGTATCAACTCGTTATTAATTATATTAATCTTTATTTAGTCCATTTATTGTATTTAGTAAGGGTAATTTATCAACTAACATATTCAGCACAACATTAATCATAATATTACATAAATGGTAATATTCACAACTCAATGACATTCATCATAATCAAATCAAATAACATTTCATTATTAATCATGTTTAAGTTCATTGTACTTAGTGGGAAGAGAACCATGGTAGACCCGGGAAACCCTGCCAGTCTACCCCGTGACCCGGGAAAAAACCACTGTTACCAGCCACGTATAATCAAAATTGGCCATAATCAATTCACATCTTCCTAGTGTGCACACCTCTTCCCAAAGTTGCTACTAGTATCCCGGGAAACCCTGCCAGACACCACTTTGGAAAGAACGGATATAATCTTTTTCACATCAGTTTCACATCGGAGGCATAAAGCCCAAAAGTTGTGTTCATCACCTTGGGAGGTACCATCCCAAAGCTATCCTCCCACCATTAATTTATTACAAACACACACAATCAGGAAAGATTCAATCATAATTATTTATTCTTTAAGTATTATCATCTCTAAATGAGTTACTCAAGGGCATTATAATTTTCCAAAGTATCATAATTGAAACAACTATTATCATAAATTCTCGAATTTATATAACAATTCAAATCTTCAACATCTATCATAGTAAAATCCAAATCTGATCATCATAATAACTTTCCAATTTATTCAAGGATATGATAATTCAAATCTTCAACAGTCATCACAGTAAAATCCAAATCGGATCATTATCATAACTTTCCAATTTATTCAAGGATATGATAATTCAAATCTTCAACATTCATCACAGTAAAATCCAAATCCGATCCTCATCATAACTTTCCAATTTATTCAAGGATATAATAATTCAAATCTTCAACATTCATCATAGAAAAATCTAAATCCAATCATCGTCATTCAAATAATCCCATCACATCAATTATCATAGTTATTAATAATATAAATATTTAAATTCAATCATTAAAACACATATTTGGAAATTTTTTCTTAAAGAGTAGTATAATTCCATAATTTTCATAATTATTCAATAAGATCCATATATTGCACATGAATTAAAAGTTTATATCATATATTGCACATAATCATAATTTCTGAAATAATAAAATTTTCCAAAAATATTCTAATTATCATATGTAGTAATTTAAATTTAAAAAAAACAAATACCTATATATATAGAAATGTTCATACCAAACTATTAAGAACATCTACGGATTACATATAAGGATTATGCCCAAATTTCATATAATAGAGATAACCTAAACACCTAAGGATTCAGATTACATCCAAGTTTTATATAAAAGAAATAACCTACGAATAGGATTACATATACC